CTCTGTATATAAGGAGCAGTTTTCCCTCCTTCCCTTTTTGTAAGAACAGATTGTAAGAACAGATGTTGATCTCCATTTTACTACTAAACTTTTGCTCTCAGTTTCCTTTCCTGTTTTGTTCATCATGAGCTAGAATGAATATAATTGAACAGTTTAGGAGAGAGAGAAAAAATTAGTAGAGTTTAGGTATGGAGAAAATATAGGATAATGAAGAAAAATAATTTATTTAATTTAGGCATAAGGTTTATAAAGTTTAAATAAGGAGAAAAAATAAAGTTTAAATAGAGAGAGGAAACATTCAGAGTTGGTAGAATAAAAATTTTAAAATCTTGGGGTTGATAGTTGGATTTCAACTATTTATATTTGAGAAGGAAAAGTCTACAAAAGTCCTAAAATTAAAAAATCTACAAAAGTTCATAACTTTTTGAATAACACATGACTTTTAAAGACTCTTTAAAAGTCTTAATCGAATATCACCCGACTTTTAAAGACTCTTTAAAAATCTTGATTGAATACCGCCTGACTTTTAAAGACTCCCTAAAAGTTTAAATTGAATACCTCCAAACTTTTAAAGTTCATAAAAATTTTAAAAGTCTATGAAAGTCATGATTGAATACACCCCCTTAAATTTTGAAAATTTTTCTCTCTCCTCAAAATTTTACGAGAAGTAAATCTAAGAAATTTTTCTCTCTCTTCATTTCCCAAATGTTAAATAATGTTCAATAAAATTACTCTAAATTTAAAATAATATTTAACTTCACAACTTCCAAATATTATTTAAGTTTAGTAACATGTTTGAAATCTTCAAGCACATATTTACCGTATAAATATCAACATTACAAAACAGTGCTTATAACTTATTTGTAGTATAAAATAAGCTATAAGCTGTAAGAAAAACTCTACGAAACATAACCTAAGTTTCTCATGTTTTACCAAACAATGATTATAGCTAGAAAACGAAAAGTCAGTAATAATTTACCTTCTAATTTTGCAATATACAATTTACAATTTATTAATTTATATTATAATAAATTAATTTGTCTTATCAATATTTATGTAACAATGTCGATATATATAAGCCACATCAATCATACTGATCAGCTATCACGTTTTTTATATTCAAAATACTTGGTATTAGGTAAGGCCATTCAGTGCAAAGAAATGAACATAATTCGAGAAATAAAACAGCCAAATGCAGTGGGACAGCTGCGCTATCCCTTCAATAATGAGATGATACAGAATTGTGCAATACACTGCCACACATCAAGCAATTTTATTTATTTATAATAATAATAATAATAATAAATGGTGGTGTGGTGGTGGTGGTTGTTGTGCTGGTGGTTTGATGGTAATAATAATCCGAAAACTAGTTTGAAATGAGATGCAATAAGAGATAAGATAAATGAAAGAAAATAAAGAATTTGAAAAATGTCTTTAGAGTAATAAAACTTAAAACTTTAGAAAGATATTTTCGGTCAAATTGGACCTTTTTCCGTTAAACATAATGAATATTTTCCTTTGACTTTATTATCCTTGACAACCCAAACACGGGATAATCCGGACCGATTTCCAAATGGATCCTAAGTGGTTCTCAAACATCTACTTACTATTTATGATAACAAACAAAAGTTTAAATTATAACTAAAGTATATATAATCTGAAACAAAACTCGGATATCAATGTAAAATTTTAAAATAATAATATTTTTTCATGCAAGGATAAAAATAATAATATGATATTTATCTATATCTATATATCTATATCTATATATCTATATAATAACAAAAGTAATATCAATGTCTCTTTTTATCCATTTATGCAGACATACATTATATTAATAGTATTTTGTACATATGAAAATATGTAAACTTTTTTTTATATATAAAATTGTGATTACTGCTATAATTATACACATTAATTGTTACACTGGTTACTCATTCAGAAATTTTATTTTAAAATCTTCATAAACTCATACTATTAATTAAAAGAAATTATAATATTTAGAAATCTACCTAAATACATAATAAAGTTAGGAACTACATTGATCCATACAAATTTAAAAATTAATTTATTTTAATTTTTAAATGCAATTCCTTTAATTATAATTAATAAAATATGTAATTTTTAATATTTAATATTTAGAAATCTACCTAAATATTTAGAAATCTACCTAAATACATAATATTTAGAAATCTACCTAAATACATAATAAAGTTAGGAACTACATTGATCCATACAAATTTAAAAATTAATTTATTTTAATTTTTAAATGCAATTCCTTTAATTATAATTAATAAAGTATACATGTATGTATTTTAAAAAATCTAAATATTATATTAATTAATATAATTAATAAAATATGTAATATAAATAAGTAAATGAAAATATAAAATTAACTAAATGTGTGTTCATAAATATTTAGATTTTTTAAAATACATACATGTATACTTATGCACCATATTAATCATACAAAATTAAAATACTAATTTTGTTAATTTTTAAATGTAATTATTTTAATTATAAATCTTGCAATATAACTTTTAATTACGAAAATTATATTATAGAATTTTCTTAAATAGATATTAAAAAATATTATGTGGATATACAATGTATTATACAATTATAAAAGAAAATGTTCCCTATTAAAATTTAAATTGACTATACAAAATTTAAAATTATCATTTTTTTATTTCTAAATATAATTCTCTTAGTTATTATTATTATTAATCACATTGTTTAATTAGAATGTATATGAAATACAATTAGAAATAAATCAATTTAATTATATAAATTTCCTCTATAATTTATCTAAATTTATATATATGATAAGAGATTATATTAACCATACAAAATTTTAATTTTAATTTTGTATACTATAACAATAGATACTTGGCCAAATATATGGAAGTACAACTATATTATTATATTGTACAATTTTAACATTTTTTTCATAATGTTTTATTTAAATTTATAATAACATAATTTTTTCCGTGCATCACAAGGACAAAGCACTAATTTTATATATTCTAACAGTATATTTGTATAATATATAAAGCAGTAATTGAAATCATCATCAATCATATTTAATATTCAACAATTTATACTATCATATATACAATTATATGTAGTTAATTTCAAATAATAAATTACTTCATTTTGTTGAAACGCAAAGAAATAAAAGGGAAAATAATAAATTTGTTTTTAACCATCAGAAGATATGAGCTAAAAGCTATATATACCAACACTATAAAAATTATGCAAGTAAAATATACCAATTAGAAAATAAATTGTAACAACCATAGAAAAAAAATTAACAAATCCTTAGATTGAAAATGGTGTAGGCAAAACTAAGAACAGAATTGTAAAAATTAGAAAGTATTTGCAAATGGACAAGAAATAAAGCCTAGTGTAAAATTTATCACTGCAAACAATTACATTAATTTTATCTCTCTAGAATTCTAGGGTTTTGCTTCCTCTCCTAGGGTTAACTAGGGTTTCGCAATTTTCATATTTTCTTCCGACAATCATTACCGGTTTCCAGCGATCAGGATTATTGCATCAGCTTCGGTTGGGATCTTGTTACGGATTGCGGCTTCGGCGATCAGGATTTGTGGAATTGCTGCTGGTTTTAAGAGTTGCAATTATTTATTCTTCAAAAAAAGAGTTGCAATTATTTCAAAGGAATTGTGGCTGCTTTATGTTTTGTTATTATTCAAGAATTGCGGCTGCTTTATGTTTTGTTATTATTCAATAATAATTGCGGCTGTTTCGGATATTGTAGCTTTGGTATTGCTGCTGTTTCTTGGTAGGCAGTAAAATTGTAACGCAGGAGATCACATGGCGACCGAGGGGAATTCTGACCATGTTACGGCTTTGGCGGAGCGTTGGGCGGACATCGCCATCGACGATGAGGAGGATTGTTTCTCACCGGTTGATGAGGTGGAGGAGCCAGGTTCGGAACCGCCGGTGCAGACGTGGAGTATGGTGGGCAGATTTTTAACTGCGAAGTTAATCAAGTTAGAGTATATGAGGCAAGTTTTAGCTTCGGTTTGGCAACCGGTGATGGGGGTGATGGTCACGGAGATACAGAAGGGCTTGTTTCTATTCGTTTTCTTTCATAAAACGGATGTGGATTATGTACTGGATGGAGGGCCGTGGGCGTTTGAAAACAATACCTTGGTGTGTAGCCTGGTTGAGGATGGGGTGTTGCCGGTTAATGTGGTTCTGAATACGGTTGACATGTGGGTGCAACTGCATGATGTTCCTATGGGTTATACGTCTCAGCCGATTCTAGAGCAGATGGGTAACTTCATTGGAACTTTTGTTAAGCATGATGAGAGGTTTGTGGGGGCACCTTGGTTGGCCTTTTACCGTATCCGTGTATCGATCCCGGTGGATAAGCCGCTACGGAGACGTATGAAGTTGTTGAAACGTGATAAGACCACATGTTGGGTTAACTTCAGGTATGAGCGTTTGCACACTTTTTGTTTTTTCTGTGGATTGATGGGGCACTCGTATAAATTCTGTGTGAAGGCTCGGGTCTCTATGGTTCCGGTTGAACAATACCCGTATGGTGCGGAGATGAGGGTGGGGGGTGGTAGGGGTCCGAGGGAGGTGGGAGAAAGTTGGTTGGTTCCGGTCGGTGGCAGGCCGAGGGTTATGGAGGGGGTGGTTGCGGCAACGGGGAACCGATTGGGTGGTGGGATGGGTAAGGAGGAAGATTTGGTGGTCTCGGGTGGTGGAGGGGTGGCCGAAACGGTCGTGGAGGCGGTGGCTAAGAGGAGGAGGGAGGGGGGATATGAGGGCGGTAGGAGGGGTGAGGGTGAAGATACTACTATGGCAGATGTTTCAAAAAACTTGTTTATGGCGGGTACTGCTGGGCAGTCCCGCCCATCATTATGAGTACGTTATCTTGGAACTGCCGTGGCTTGGGTAATCCACGGACAGTTCAGGAGGTGGTGGACATGGTGTCCCGTAAGCAACCCGACTTTGTATTTCTGATGGAAACTAAGGTGGGACGCGATCATGCTGAGCGTCTTCGGATCAAGATTGGATTTGAGGGGTTATTTTATGTTGATAGCAGTGGTTCCAGAGGACTAAGTGGTGGTTTAGCGTTGTTCTGGAGGAAGAATAATACAGCAAGGCTCCTCAGTTACTCAAAGAATTATGTGGATATTGAGGTAACTATAACCGGCTTCCCGAAGTGGCGTATGACGTGTTATTATGGTTTCTCGGAACGAACCAGACGTTCTGAGTCATGGGACCTTTTGAGGGCATTATCAACTAGATCCGGCCTTCCATGGATCGTAGTGGGAGACTTCAATGATCTATTATTTCAGTATGAGAAAAGAGGGGGAAATCCACATCCGAATAGCCTCCTTCGCGGTTTTGGGGATACTATTGGGGACTGTGGTTTGACTCAAATGCCAATGGAGGGCTATCCGTACACATGGGAGAAGGGGAAGGGAACAGTTGATTGGATTGAGGAGAGACTTGATAAAGTCCTGGCAACAGATGAGTGGCGTAGTATGGTAACAATGGCCAGGGTGGTGAACTTGAGAACCCGAAAATCTGATCATTCGGCTATCTATCTGGGTATCCATGAATCCTTAGGGACGAATGGAACAAGAAGGAGGGGATTCCGTTTTGAGGCAGCGTGGTTATATGAGGAGGGGTGTAGAGGGATAGTCGAGCAGGCATGGCAGGAAGGAAGGGGACAGGGTCTGCAGCATTGTATTGAATACTGTGGTAGTCGATTAACACGATGGGGTGGAGATCGGCACCATAAGAGTATGGTAAGCAGATTATTGATCTTAAGAAGAAGCAGCAACGACTAAGGGGATGCACGGACCCGGCTTCGCTTGCTGAGTTTCAATCCCTGGAACAACTTCTATGCCGTACTGAAGCCCAGGAGGATGCCTACTGGAGGCAGAGGGCCAAGCAACACTGGCTCAAGGAGGCCGATGCCAATACCAAGTTCTTTCACAGGTACGCCTCTCATCGTAAAAAGAAGAATACTATTGTCAGACTAATGAATGATAATGGGGATTGGGTGGAAGGGGAACCCATGAATAATGTTATTTTGGAATATTTCAATCGTATTTTTTGCTCTGAAAATCCGGGATCTGGGGAGAGTTTTTTTGAGGGAATTGTTCCGCGGGTCACTCAGGCACAGAATGAGTTGTTGTTACGGCCTTTTGAATTTGATGAAGTTAAATCGGCCCTGTTTGCAATGTTTCCTGATAAGGCACCGGGCCCGGATGGAATGAACCCGGGGTTCTATCAACATTTTTGGGATGTGGTAGGGGGGGATGTTGCGACTTTTGTCATGGGATGTCTTAACTCACGCAATCTACCACCTAGCTTAAACAGTACAGATATTATTTTGATCCCAAAGAAAAAGACCCCTGAGCTAGTAACTGACTTGCGTCTTATAGCCCTCAGTAATGTGATCTATAGGATTATGGCAAAGATGATAACAAATAGAATGAAACCGCTGATGGAAGGAGTCATATCGGAATCGCAGAGTGCCTTTATTCCAGATAGGCTTATAACTGATAATATTTTGGTAGCAGCGGAGGTGGGTCATTTTTTGAACAGGAAACAGTGTGGCATGGTGGGGTGGAGTGCTCTGAAGCTTGATATGGCAAAGGCCTATGACCGGATGGAGTGGCCTTTCCTGGAAAAAATGATGTTGGCTTTGGGTTTTGATGTTGGATGGGTGCAGTTAATCATGAATTGTGTATCTACAGTCTCGTATAATTTATTGGTGAATGGCTCTAGGAGTGAACCTATTTTACCCACACGTGGTTTAAGGCAGGGAGACCCATTATCTCCTTATCTTTTTATTATTTGTGCAGAGGGCCTTTCTTTGTTATTACAGCAGGCTCACAATAGGGGTTTGATCCATGGATGCAGAGTGGCAAGAGGTGCTCCCCCAATCTCTCACTTGTTTTTCGCTGATGATAGCCTTCTGTTTTTTAAAGCCAATGTTCAAGAGGCCAGTGAGATCAAAAGGTGTCTATCAGTCTATGAGGATTTATCTGGGCAAGTGGTTAATTACCACAAGTCAAGCATATGTTATAGTAGGAACACGAGTAACGCAAGTAAGGAAGTGGTGGCGCAAGTTCTAGGAGTTGGCCAGGCTCCTAATTTTGGCAAGTATTTGGGACTCCCCTCATTTGTAGGGAGAAACAAAAAGGCAGCTTTTGCATATATAGAGGATAAAATCCGGCTAAGAATTGGGTCATGGAATAAGAGGTTATTATCACAGGCAGGTAAAGAAATTTTATTGAAAAGTGTAGTACAATCCATGCCTACCTTTTCAATGAGTGTCTTCCTGCTGCCAACTTCTGTTTGTACAGCGATTGAGAGGACTATGAATCGTTACTGATGGGACTCTGGAACTGATAGACGGATACATTGGAAGGCTTGGGACAAACTGTCTGTTCCTAAGAAATATGGGGGTTTGGGATTCAAGGAATTGCGTGCTTTTAACCTGGCTATGTTGGGAAAACAGGCGTGGCGAATGCTTACTAAACCTGAGTCCTTGGTAGCTCGTATATATAAAGCACGGTATTATGCCAAAGGCTCATTTTTTGATGCACAAGTGGGAAATAATCCTAGTTTCTGCTGGCGGAGTATTATGGCAGCCAAGAGTATCATTTGTAGTGGGGTAAGACGGAGGATTGGAAATGGGGAATCTACACTCATATGGACCCATCCTTGGTTACAGGACGACCAAGACCCCATGATACAAACAGAGATGCCAGTACAGTTACAGGATGCTAAGGTGGTGAGATTGATTGATCAACAAACACGGACTTGGGATCTTTCAATTTTAACTGATCTTTTTCATCCTAGTGATGTGGCAAATATTCTTAAAATACCAGTTTCTCCGGATTATGATGATACTTGGTATTGGCCTGGGGACCCGAGAGGAGTTTATTCTGTAAAGGGCGGATACAGATTAATAGTTGGTAATTATGGGAATGAGAATGGGACCTTTACAAAGTGGTTAACCTTGTGGAAACTCAAAATACCCCCAAAATGGAGAATGTTCCTATGGAGAGCCATTTGTGATATACTGCCTACCACTTCTAACTTGCTTATAAAGAGGGTAGAAGTAAACCCATATTGTGCCATGTGTGGATCATCTCAAGAGGACACTATGCATGCTTTAGTGTTATGTGAATTTGCAAAGAACATTTGGGACCGATCCAACCTTCCAATCCCCAATATTATAACGAATATTTTTCATATTTGGTTTGGTGAGCTCCTAAATGTTTTAGATTTTGATGGGATGTTATATGCAGCATCAATCCTCTACAATATTTGGAGAGCACGGAACGGGGCGGTTTGGAATGCTCTATTACCACGGCCACAATCTTTGTTGGCAGCAGCGAATTCGGCATTGCATGCATGGAGAAGGGCAAACCCGCCAGCAGTCCAAAACCACGTACCACTGCCTGCAACGCAATCTCAACATCTTGGCTCTCATGCACCACTCGGACCTCACGGTATTGTACAGGAAGAGCCACCTCGGAGGCTATGTCGCATCGACGCGGGGTTTATACACAATACGGGCAAGGCTACGGTTGGGGCAATCCTCGTAGACATGAATGGAGGGTATGTCGCGGCCTTCAGTGCACCCCTCCCGGATTCTTTCTCACCACTTATGGCCGAGGCATTGGCATGCAAGGAGGCTTTGTCATGGTTAAAGGATCGAGGGGAACAGAACATCGAAATATATACAGATTGTTTAATGCTACAGCGTTATCTTACTACACCGTCTACTACGTTTCGCACTTACGTCGGCTATGCCATTGACGCCTGCAGAGCAGCTACAACTTATTTTCAGTCTTGTTCTTTCCATTTTATTTCTAGACTAGACAATTTTATAGCTCATGCCTTAGCTACTTCAGCATATCAGCAATCGGCTGCTATGTACTGGGATCTTCTCCCACCAGACATTATTTCGACATATTTTTAATAAAGCACCACATATATTTTCAAAAAAACATTAATGTAATTTTAATTCTAATTATAACTTAACAACTAGATTTATGATTGCTAAAGAAAAAACATAAAATGTGAGGTGTAAAAATGTAAATATGTGTATTAGTATAATAATGAATGTATAAGGGAAAAATGTCAAATAACCTTAAACTTTTAAAAGTTACAATTAACTTCATTAACATGTTATTTTCGTGCATCAAAACCCAAGAACTAGTTATTGACCTGTAGATACCAATTATTAGGGTTCCAGTGAGATTCTGACTAACCCTGAATACTAAAATCGAGAACCAATGACTGAAGATTTGTTGTTGGTAACTTTTGAAGAAGACAACCAGATGGCCGGTTGAGTAAACATGTTAGTATTGTCAAAAAGCTAGCTATGGCAGCCTAGCTAGCTCAATAGCATGGCTAGAGATGACCACGGTTCCGGTTCGAACTGTAACCGTGACTGTGCGAATCAGAACCGTCCGTACGGTTCCGGTTCCGGTTCTTAACCGGAACCGGTTAAGGTTTGTAAAATCGTGGAACCGGAACCGGCGTTTCCAATTCCAAACCGGAAAAAAATAAATATTATAGTATTTTTTTAAAAAAAATTTTTAATAATTTCGGTTGGAACCGTCGGTTCTGAACCGGAACCGGAAACGGAACCTTACTATAAGGTTCCGGTTCCGGTTCCGCCATCCACGGAACCGGAACCGACGATTCCGAACCGGAACCGGAACCGTGGTCACCCCTAAGCATGGCATGTGTGAGTTGGTCTAGTATGATTGTACTCTTACAAAGCAAGTTGTGATGGATAGTAGTCTCCGACACAAAATTATATGGTTCACACAATGTTATGTGGATCATAACAAAAAGTACATTTTTAATATATTAAGGATGTGTTTGATTCGCACATGGAAATCAGAATCAGACTGGGTATCAAATACTTGGTAATGATAATGGATTTTAGTGAAAGTATTTAACATGTTTGGTAGTAGGGTGGAATGAGAATGGTTACTAATAGTAGTGCTTAAAATGAATAAGGGAATAAAATCCTTACTTTATTTGGGTATGAATTTTTCAATTGATGGGGTATTTGAAACCCATAGTAGTGTTCTAAAAACTTATCAACCAAACAATAACAATGACTTTCATACACATTCCTGTGGGCAAAACCCATCAACCAAACACACCCTAAATGTACATTATTTTTGTATTGTATGTACATTATACAATAATACAATATAATGTACACTCAGTACAAAAATAATGTACATCCCCTAAATACAATGTACATTATTTTTGTCTTGAATGTACATTTTATTTGTATTGAATGTACATTATTTTACAATATACAAAATATGGTCCATACAACTTGTATGGATCATGGTCCACACAATAATGATTGGTAATCTCCCAGTCGTTATATTATAGACCGCGGTGCATGTGCACCGCGGTCAAAAACGACATCGTTTCTTTAAGTAAAGAAACGGTCCGCCGTTAGAGTTAACGGAGTCCGCTTGTTTGGTGTATTAAACACTAACTGACACTACAGTATATCCAAACCGACACTGCAGTTATATCAAAATGATACTGTAGTTATAGTGAAATGAAACTGCAGTGTATATAAACTGAAACTGAATAACATTTCACATATTTGAGTGTATATTGTACAATGAAGCTGTAATTATATCAAAATGATCATGTAGTTGTGTTTTAATGAAATTATAGTGTATATAAAATAAAATTAAATAACATTTTCACATATTTGAGTCTATAAATATCGAATGAAACTATAGTTATATCGAAATGAAACTGTAGTTGTGTTCAACTGAAACTGCAGTGTATACAAAATGACATTGAATAACAGAGTTACATTTTGCAAAAGGGTGCGAAACGGCGGAAACAAACACTGTTAATTTTCATTTAAAAAAAAAGACGCGCGGTGCATAATCGATTATGCACCGCGGTGCATAATATAATTTGTCGTAATCTCCCAACTAGATCAAGTTGGAGCGTTATGCCCTGGACCCGTGTCCACCATGTGCATGGTGGACACGCTGTATATTTATAATTTCTATACTGTAGATTAATAATTTCTATACTGTAGACTTATAATTTTTATACTGTAGATTCATAAAATTTATACTGTAGATTCATAAAATTTATAATGTAGATTCATAATTTCTATACTGCACATCCATAATTTATGTACTGTAGATTCATAATTTTTATACCGCACATTCATAATTTATGTACTGTAGATTCATAATTTCTATACTGCACATTCATAATTTATGTACTGTAGATTCATAATTTTTATACTGCACATTCATAATTTCTATACTGCACATTCATAATTTCTGTACTGTAAATTCATAATTTCTATACTGTAGATTCATAATTTCTATACTGTAGATTCATAAAATTTATAATATAGATTCATAATTTCTATACTGTACATTCATAATTTCTGTACTGTAGATTCATAATTTGATAACTATGTGTTCATAATTTGATAACTATACAGTTTAGAAATTATGAATCTACATTACAGAAATTATGAATCTACATCACATAAATTATGAATCTACAGTACAGAAATTATGAATGTGCAGTATAGAAATTATGAATCTACATTATAAATTTTATGAATCTGTAGTACAATTTAGAAATTATAAATCTACAGTATAACAATTATGAATATACAATATAAAAATTATGAATATACAGCATGTCCACCATGCACATGGTAGACACGATTCCATAGTATAATTTGCCGATCAAGTTAGTCCAAATTGTCTAGAATGCAACTCCTTTGAGCCTATTACTTGGAGTATTATTAGCTGAACTACCTTATAATCCATTACAAGCTCCCGACTTCATGTGGTGTAAAATTTGTTAACATTAGGAAGCAGTTAAAGTGTTTAGACTATGTTCCGGCCTATCTAATTCTTTCCACAACATATAAGTATGTGTTTGGTGGAATCAAAATATGAATCAAATACTTGATAATGTAATGAGTTTTTGTGAAAGTAATTTGCATGTTTGGTAGTAGGGTAGAATTTGAATGATTATCAATATTGATGTTTGGTTGTGTATGACCATCCTGTAATGGGAATAAATGTTTTAAAAAATACGAAAACAAAAAATAAAGACAATTGATCATAATATAATGACATCTAAAACATTAATATGAACAAAAAAAAAATCAAAACAAAAATTTAAAAGTACTCATCCAAACTTAAAAATTAGATTACCAATAAGATGGAATGATACTCATTTTTAATTAGGGAAATGAATGATACAACTTTTTAATTAGGAAATGAAATATTTAATTGAAGGAGTAATCAAAACACATAATTGTGTTTTAAAAAGTTCTCAACCAAACACTAACTATGATTTTGATTCACATTTTTAATGTATAATCTCATAAACTAAACACACCTTAACAGGGCGTTTGGTTGGAGGGATTTTAAATTCCCTTCCCACTTAATTCCCACCTAATTCCAAAGGCCATTAAATTCCGTAGTTTGGTTGGAGGGCCCCATTTTCATGGAATTAAAATCCCATGTCCCCCCTGATATTTTAATTCCTGGAAAAAAAAGATAGTGATGAGTCAAAATTACCCCTTCATTTTTTAACCTAAAATTAATGTTTCTAACAACAATAGTGGACATTTTTGACTTTATACTACTTATTTCCTTTCAATTCTCATGTATACCAAACATTGAAATTGAAATTCCCAGTAATTCTATTCCTGTCAACCAAACACTGGAATTTAAATTCCCACTTTATTCTTAGTAATTCAACTCCCATAGATTACAATTCTTTTCCCACATAATTCCCCCCCTCCAACCAAACGCCCTGAAGTGTTTGACTCCAGCTACCATTAGCTCAAGTAAAGTTTAGTGTTCATATATGCAGACTATGCAGTCGGTTTGTTGAGATTGATTATAGGTTGAGAAGGGCAATTATGCTATTTTTGCTAACATTGAAATGGAATCCAACAGGAACCCAATGGTTGAGATGTTGGCACAAAAATGTTTCAAGACTTCCACAATAATCTCTAATAAATAACTTATTATTAAATTCTAAGTTTTACCTTCGACTGATACTTATTGTCTTTTTGTATTGATGATAATAGTGTAACCTCTAACCTCTTTGACAACCACACTTGTGTGTAGGCCTTTCATTCTCTTTCAACTAGTCGAAAAAGATTATCAAGTATCTTATCAACTAGTCATTGCTCAACATTATAGATGCCACAAGGGCTAATTTGACATCCAACTTTAATTTACCCCTTAATTAATGGGGCGTTTGATGGGATAGAATTGTAATTCCATTCCTACCAAACTCCATGGAATTGCAATTCCATGGTTTGGTTAAATGGAATTGCAATTCCACAGAATTATAATTCCTTCTAATCATGGAATTGCAATTCCTAGGGTTTCCCTACCTAAATATTACAATTTCACACTTTGTGAAATTGTAATCTCATGTTAAATTACCATTCTATCATTCTTATGATTATTATTATATTATTATACAAGGATATTTTAGTGTTTATTCACTTTTTTTTTTTGAAAACCAAAGCAATACGTTTTATTAAAGAAGATGTTCAATACAAGAAGGAACGAAAAATAACCAATAATTAGGACCAGTTTGAGAATGCATTGCTCTTGCCAAGGCGTGAGCTACTTTGTTCACTGATATAGAAACAAACTGAAAGGACACTGATTCAAAGTATCTTTTAAGATCACGACACTCTCGCAAAACGCAGCCAGCATATGAAAGATCCTGAGACATGCCATTGAGAAACCTGCAAACCAGTTGACAATCTGATAGCACGGCAACTCTGTTGAAACCCCTATCCTTAAGCCAGGATAGTGCTTCCCTGATCACCAAGGCCTTCGCTAGATGAGCATCATTCAAACTTCTTACTTAACAATATAATTTAAATTCTCACTCTATTCTTTTGTCGCAGAATTACAATTCTTTTTTTCATAATTCCTTCCTTCCAACCAAACGTCCCTAATTGTTAATTTTAATTCAAATCCCGTTCACCTCTACTTTTTTTTTATTTTGTTGACTTTATTCGGCATCTGGCATCCTTCTCGATCAGGGACAACAAAAATGTATTAGTTACTAAATATTCAATTTTGATTCTAAATATTCAATTTTTTTTACTTGATTCAATTTTTTAATTTCCATTAATGTTCAAACCAAATGCCCAGAGTTGATTCTCCTGTAACCTGCATTTTCTTGTAAATTTCAATCTCCTAGGTTGTTCGAAAGCTAAAAAAGAAAAAGAAAAAAGAAAAAAAAAAAAAGGATTCCCACAGAGCTTGCTGCTCTTTGTTAATTCCAATCTTTAACGTTGTAATCGGTAAATGGATATTGAAGTGACATTGCAAGCAAGCCCCACATGGTTGTCTCTTGCGAAGAGCCGAAGACGATGATAAGAATCCTCCACATCACTTCCTCCTAAATCCAGTTGGCTATCAACCATTCACCTCAAAAATAATGTTTAGATTTTGTATCTATAGTTGATATAATTAATTATTTTTGTACTTGTAAACACATTGAAAACACATCACATAATAACTACAAACACATAACATGATAACTATAGTCACATAAACTGTTAATTGTAAGAACAAATTATGTTAACGATAAACACATAACATGTTATTTTCAACCATACCGTAGCAGACATATGATCGGTACCGAACCTATCGAACGAGTAGATTCGTGTCCGAGCATGATTAACCTCTTCCTGCACTTACCCGACCTAAATCTCAAACCGAGTGTAATTTCACTATCAAGCGGAGATCAATACTTATCACTCTCATATTAGGTCGATGTCGAGCATCCTGAGATACTTAAAGCCTTAAGCATAGTTCTCTTTGCAAAATTCAATAGCGGTAAGTCTAGTGAAATCATGAATCTCTCAACACGTGCGTGGACGGACAGGTCAAGCCCTAACTTTACTTTGTGCATGCGCTTCACGTACCGTATATGTCGAGGGATTAGCATGTGCCCTCCTCGCACCCTTTATAAATACATGCTAGATTGTAGATTTTAGCATTTTCTATACATTTATTTTAACTCAAAAACCTCTAACTTACTGTTACGTAACCCAACAAACATACTAGAGAAATCCCCGTACGAACTTTAGTCCATGATATAACAATTGCATTCCAAAACCACCATCTTCCACCCTCCTTTCCGCCCATTCACCGCCGCTCCTTTCAGCTGTTCCCCCGCAGCCCCTTCTCCTTGGAACTCAGCTCCAATTTGAATTCTCGATTCTTGAACGTTTGACTAATCTTTGGTCAGCCAACCACACCCTATAAGAGAAACCCACCCACTGCAATCTTCTTGATTCTTGAATTCTCTTCTGCTGTTAAGCAATTCGTAATTGGCCTCCAGAATTTTCTTCAGTTGCTTATATTGACCAACAATCCTCATTTGACCTCTCTCTCTCTCTCTCTCTGCCCTATAAAAAGCGCCATCAATATTAATGTAGAGAGAGAGAGAGAGTTTATTGTCAAAATTTCTTCAATGGAGAACTCAATATGGGCAGTGCTGTCGCCATACGTACCATATTTAGTTGCCTTCTTAGCGCTGGTTCTTCTTCTTGAACAGATCTCTTACCTGAAAAAAAAGAGGTTTCTTCCCGGCCCGGCGTTCGTGTTTCCGTTCATCGGAAATGTGGTCACTTTAGTCACTAATCCGACAAAATTCTGGGATGATCAGTCCGCCCTGGCGAAGACCACTGGCGCTGGCATTTCCGTCAACTACATCATCGGCCGGTTTATTCTCTACATCCATTCCTCCGACCTCTCCCACAAGGTCTTCTCCAATGTCCGCCCAGACGCCTTCCACCTCATCGGCCACCCCTTCGGGAAGAAGCTCTTCGGCGAGCATAACCTCATATATATGTTCGGGCAGGAGCATAAGGACCTTCGCCGGAGAATCGCCCCCAACTTCACCCCCAAAGCGCTGGCCACCTACACGGAAATCCAACAGCGGATTATTATCAAACACCTGGCGTGCTGGCTGCGGAGGTCTTCGGATTCGCCGTCGGAGCCGATCCCGCTCCGCATTCTCTGCCGTGACATGAACTTGGAAACCTCCCAGACCGTGTTTGCCGGGCCGTATTTGAGCGGCGAGGCCCGCCGGAGATTCAATGTGGATTATACTTACTTCAATGTCGGGTTGATGAAGCTCCCGATTGACCTCCCCGGTTTCGCTTTCAGAAACGCCCGGAGAGCGGTGGATAGGCTGGTGGAGACGCTTTCGCTCTGTGCGGAACAGAGCCAGAAGACGATGGAGACCGGAGAAGAACCCACTTGCCTCATTGATTTCTGGATGCAAGAAGCGATTAGGGAAATGAACGAAGCGAAACAGAACGGCGGCGCCGCCGCCGGTGGTTTTGTTTATAACCCCAAAGAAATCGGCGGGCATTTATTCGATTTCCTGTTCGCGGCGCAGGACGCTTCTACTTCCTCTCTGTTGTGGGCGGTGACGCTCTTGGAGTCTCACCCAGGAGTTCTGGAGAGGGTGAGAACGGAGGTGAAGAAGTTCTGGTCGCCGGAATCGGAGCAGCCCATCGCCGCCGAGCACCTCAGGGAAATGAAGTACGTGGAGGCGGTGGCGCGTGAGGTTCTGCGGTTCAGAGCTCCGGCGACGCTGGTGCCTCACATTGCCGGGGTGGATTTCCCGTTGACGGAGAATTACGTTGTGCCCAAAGGCACCATCGTTTTCCCGTCGGTTCTTGACTCGTCGTTTCAGGGGTTCCCTGAACCGGAGAAGTTCGACCCGGAGCGGTTCATGGAAGAACGGCAAGAGGACCGGGTTTACAAGAAAAACTTTCTAGCCTTTGGGGCTGGGCCCCACCAGTGCGTCGGCCAGAGATACGCCATTAACCACCTGATGCTCTTCATCGCCGTTTTCACGGCCCTGATTGATTTCAGGCGCCACCGAACCGACGGCTGTGATGACATCGCCTATGTCCCGACCATCGCTCCCAAGGATGATTGCAAGGTTTTTCTTTCCCAGAGGTGCATCAAATTCCCATCTCTGAATTGACGATATTGCCCTTCAAAAAATTCAATTCTTCATTCCCCGACCCGACCCGCTTCGTCACCAAATCATAAATGTCATGTTTATTTATTTTATTTTATTTTATTTTATTTGTTAGTTTTCATCGTTTGACTTTTATTTTTTATTTATTTTTTATGTTTAATTTACGAGTGTGAATACATGTGTCTATCCAATTGTGAAGATTCTTTTAAGTAGGTTGAATGGGGGTGACAAATATTTGGATAACGTGTGACGAACCAATGTAAAGAACATTGATGTTATTGGAATTGTCTCTTTCTCTTTCTCTCTCACTCACTCTCTCTATATTTATATGTATACACACTATTTTATTTATATATATTTGTCTCTCTCATTCTAACTAATTTTGTCGTTTCATTAAAAAAAAATTATAATCTTTATGCGTTTTAATTATGTTGGTCCAATATATTATTAATGAATTATATTGTTCAAGGATAAGGTAGACATTAATATAAGTTCATTTTTAACAACACTCAATGCTTACACTGTGAACTTGTTGGTAGTATGTATAGGCACATTCTTTAACTCGTGGTCAAGCAATTAGACATGTCTCAATGTTTGTTATTGATCTAGTTGAATATTCTATGGCATACCAAGCTTCTAAAAGCATCAATATCAGCAGATTATTTGAAGTTTATTCATGATTTTTTAGGTTAGACAGACAACATGGCGTAGAGAGAGGGGCAACTCCTCTTGCAAGGGAGGGTTATTTCTCTTCCCAAGGAAGGAGAAATAAATGAGAGAGAGAGTCGCAGCTGTGGGCGTTTCGCGCACAGCAAAGCCACGTCGGGTGCTTCAGGCACGCAGACAAGCGCGCTTGACATACTTTTTTTTTTTTTAAACAGTTTTGTTTATTTATTTATTTTTTCTCTTTTTTTTTTTTCCTCCCATATTCTCTTTCATAATCACACATACAAAAACTACAAAAAAAAAAAAAAAAAAAAAAAAAAAAGACTCCACCATTGTGGATGCTCTAAGAGCATTCCAATAGGAGGATTTTTAAAGATTTTTGCAGCCTTTTTGCCACGTGAAAGAGAGAGAAAAAAGTGGAGATAGAAGGTTTGAGTTGTCATGCAAGAACTTGATTTTTTGTAGGTTCCGCAAGAGAGAGAAACAACAAAAGAGAGGCGTAGTGTTGCGCGTTTTGTGCACTTAAAGCGCCCAGTCGGGCGCGTGCACTGCACGAGCCAACTGGCACGTTAATTTCTTTGTTTTTTTTTTTTTTTTTTTTTTTTTCCTTTTTTTCGTCAGATTTGCTTTTTTTCCTTTGATTTGATTCACTAAAAATGAAACTATATGTGACATGTATGGACAATTCAGTTAGTTTTTAGATAGTAGATTATAGACAAGAATACAAGATGAGCCTGGACGCCTGGTAACCGCAATGTGAGAGTTTTATTAATATTGTGGGTTTTTTGTTGACACTATATATTGATCCTCCCACATAATATATCGTTAAGTCATTGTAATTTATCTCTTCACTATCATGTTTGTGTCTAGAAAATTTTTATTTTTGTGGGCAAAAATCGTAACTGTGGTTGACTACAACTTTAATGCACCATGTGGTAAAGGTTTGCCCATTATATTGCCCACTGCCTACTTTTAGAAATTATAATGCCCACCCGTTGGATATTCAGAAGATTCATATAGCGCATGGGGTTTGCCCGTACACAATAGATAACTGACACTTGTTCAAAGTACATATTCAAGAATCTATGTTCATATTCACTTTTTTAGTTACATAGTTTTTGTTTTTATTTATTAAATTTTTTTTAACAAAAAAATTCGGAGTATTTTTTTTTTTTTTTATTAACCTTTCAAGTTTCAACGTTTTTTATATTCTTATTTTTCATTCTACAAACATGTTCGAACCCAACTATAATTAATTTATACATTATTTTCAATTATTTTTGTTATATAAAAATGTCCGTGTAAGGGTGCTTAATGGTGGGTTTCAATTGATCTTTGATAATGAATTGAAAATGTACATGCGAATTTTTCGTTAGGTAAATTTTATTTTTATTTTAGTAATTGACTATTACATGCTTACTTATCCCTAGTATATGTGACCTACTCATGTACTTCTTCCACCTCTAACTATACCAGCTATTTTTATTGTCCTTATTGTTTATTTTCATTTATCACTGTCTATCTAGTACCAAAACATCTATCTAGTTCCACCACAACTTATCTATTCAACTAACCATTACTAGCCGACCCCACACTTCTCTATCTTTTTCATTAACATACACATTGTCATTTAGGGACTAGCAATAAAAAAATAAATAAAAATAATCAACTAAGTAAATATGTTGATAATCAGTCCACTATTAGTTATGAAGTTAAAAAAAATATTGATTTTTTTCAAATTTTTGCCCAGTTATGACTATATTGCCTAGTTTTCAAATTGATGACTATATTAATAAACACTTAAATGTAAAGATATGCAATGGTTGATTATTAAATGAAAAGAAAATATTTTTTCCTCTCCTATATTTTTCTTCTAATATTTTTCTCATAATGTGACATTATTTGATTCGACTTTTTAATATTTGACTATTAACTAAATTCATTTTTAATTAGGGATAGGGTTCACCAATTCTTGAGCACCACTAAATATCATTACATTTAAATATTTTTTAAAACTTCTAATCATCAATATAGCGTTAACTGGTCGAAAAACTAATATATATATATATATATATATATATATATATATATATATATATATAAACTTCATAAATTATAACAAATTTAAAATTTAAAATTTAGATCGATTCAATTGGACATCGGTTACTTGGTCGATTGCATTTCTTTTTTTTGTAAAACCCTATATGACAATGTGTGTTAAATGAAAATGATATTGGATGGTGTAGGTGGATTGGTAGTAGTATGAACGATAGGTTGAGGTAGAGATAGATAGATATTGTGATACTATAGAGACAATAATATATGAAAGTAAACAATAAGGACAATAAAAGTAACTAGTATAGGTGGAGGTGGGAGTACGTGAGTAGATCATATATAGTAGGGGTAATAGGCACGTAGTAGTCAATCACAACAATTAAAATTAAATTTACCTAACTCAAAAATTCGTACTTAAATCAATGAAATCTGTAAATATTTAATTCAATTAATAAAATTCGTAGGTATTTAATGTTTAGATATTTAATCCCATAAATCTATAAGTTTAAGATTTTTTTTCTCGAATGGAAGTATGATGATTACAATTGAGGTAAAATTTCTTTCCTTTTTTTTTTTTTTTTTTTAATCAAAATTATATATACCAGAAATAACTTTATCTAGTAACTTGTTAGGTCCATTTACATAACTTTGATAAATATCATAAATATACTGGAAATAAAAAAAAATTAAGGTGTTGATCATACTCAATACAATAACGTATTGTACCATCTCTATCATTGGCCATGACTTTTAATACTAATTTATATGTATATGATATTAAACAACAAATAAAGTGAAATGCACCCAACGCAATAATTGGGAAGTTTGACATTGCAAAATGTTGTTACTATAAGGTTTGTCATATTTCACTTATATTTTAGTGTACAAAACTACAAAATGTGCCAACCTGTGAATTTTATCATAAGCATAGTTTCACTTTATTAGGAAAAAGGAAGAAACTTTAATATTGGTTAAGTGTTGTTGGTTGGTTCTGTTATGACGTGCATGCATGATTCCGTTCCCATATTAAAGTTGCTCAATTATGAATCACTTTGTTGTGGAATCGTCTCATAGATCATTATCGGTGAGACATGTTGAGTCAAGATAAAAATGTAATACTTACATTAAAAAATATAATACTAATCAGGAATAAAGTGTTTATTACTTATAAGGAAAAATGTAATATTTTTGAACAAAACGTAATAATTTTAAGTCAAAATATAAAAATATTACATTTTTCTTTACAAGTATTACACTTTTCAGTAAAATAAAATAAAAAAAACACTTTTATTCATAATTAGCATTAAATTTTTATCTTCACTCGATGACCCATCTTAAAAATAAAGATTTATAAGATAATCTTACACAAATTTTTACCCTCAATTATAGATTGCAGTCCTTATGATTAGCGTACCGCCATTAGTTTCGCGTTTCTTAAATTTAATTCTTCTTTTTGAAAATTATAATCTCCATATGCACTTATATTATCATTGCGGTACGTGCTTAATTTTATAAATAAGATGATGTGACAAGTAAAAGTTATGGTGTCACCAATTACTCTATATTATGCAAAACACAACATAATCATAGAAATATGAAATATTTTATTTTGTAGTAAATAAGGCATAAAATCATCTAATTCTTTTATGAGTATATCTTAGTGCTTCCTATTTTAAATTAATATGTATTGTATTTAAAAATTTAAGAGACGTTTACAAAATTACATACATGAGAAAATTATTGTTTATATTTATTTAACAGTATATTTGTCATCCGCTCTTATATAGAGAAGATCATATGAGAACATGATCCTCTTATGACTTATCTCAATTGTTTATCATAATTTATCAATGGTTGATAATTTTAGTAAAAAAACAAAAAACAAAAAAAAAAAAAAAACAAAAACAAAAAGCACTAGGTCAATTTTATATATAATTATTGAAACTTTTAAAAATAGAGTTTATTTTGTAATTAGTGCAAACTTAAAATTTTATTAATAATAAAGTGCTAACTTTTGATTTCTCAAGATGGAGTGTAAATCAGATGTGTCTTACACTTTCTACAAGGTGAGGTGTCTCACCCAAACCCTTCTATATATATATATATATGTGTGTGTTTAAGTTTATACACATATATAAAATTAAGTACTATTTTTTTCCAAATATAATTAAACATTATAATTATTTATATTATTTGACAGTTTTATATTAATGTTAGGCACTTACATTAGAAAATGAGTTAATATTCAATTTAGTTCTCGACTATCGTGATTTTTCTCAATTTAATCCTAAATGTGTGTTTATACTTAATTAGATTCTAGACTTTGATAATTTTATCTATTCATATCCTCATCGGTTAGAATTCAACTAAATCTTGAAAAATCACTAGAGTTGGTGACTAAATTGGGCAAAACTGTTATAGTTGATGACTAAATTGAGTATTAATAGAGGATAAATTATCAAGTTATCTTAACAAAGGAATATTCAATTAGGTAAAATCGTTGAAGTCCAGGACCCAATTAAACACAAAAAGACGTTTAGGTTTAAATAATTTTTTAAAAAAAATCACTATAGTCAAAGAC